CCTCGCCAACACCTGTTGTTGGTGGTGTTGCTGATGATGGCTATTCTAACAGGGGTGAGGTGGAATCTTAGTGTGGTTTTAATTTGCATTTCCTTTATTGCTAGAGATGGTGAGCATTTTTTCATGTGTTTTTTGGCCATTTGAATTTCTTCTTTTGAGAAAGTTCTGTTTAGTTCACTTGCCCATTTCTTTATTGGTTCATTAGTTTTGGGAGAATTTAGTTTTTTAAGTTCCCTATATATTCTGGTTATCAGTCCTTTGTCTGATGTATAGTTGGCAAATATTTTCTCCCACTCTGTGGGTGTTCTCTTCAGTTTAGAGACCATTTCTTTTGATGAACAGAAGCTTTTTAGTTTTATGAGGTCCCATTTATCTATGCTATCTCTTAGTTGCTGTGCTGCTGGGGTTTTGTTGAGAAAGTTCTTACCTATACCTACTAACTCCAGAGTATTTCCTACTCTTTCCTGTATCAACTTTAGAGTTTGGGGTCTGATATTAAGATCCTTGATCCATTTTGAGTTAATCTTGGTATAGGGTGATATACATGGATCTAGTTTCAGTTTTTTGCAGACTGCTAACCAGTTTTCCCAGCAGTTTTTGTTGAAGAGGCTGCTATTTCTCCATCGTATATTTTTAGTGCCTTTGTCAAAGACAAGTTGGTTATAGTTGTGTGGCTTCATATCTGGGTCCTCTGTTCTGTTCCTCTGGTCTTCATGTCTGTTTTTGTGCCAGTACCATGCAGTTTTTATTGTTATTGCTTTGTAATATAGTTTGAAGTCGAGTATTGTGATACCTCCTGCATTGTTCTTTTGACTGAGTATTGCCTTGGCTATTCGTGGCCTCTTGTGTTTCCATATAAATTTCACGGTAGATTTTTCAATCTCTTTGATGAATGTCATTGGGATTTTGATGGGAATTGCATTAAACATGTAGATTACTTTTGGGAGTATCGACATTTTTACTATGTTGATTCTACCAATCCATGAGCATGGGAGATCTCTCCACTTTCTATAGTCTTCCTCAATCTTTCTTTGAAGTTTATAGTTTTCCTTGTAGAGGTCATTCACATCCTTTGTTGGGTTTACACCTAGGTATTTGATTTTTTTTTTGAGGCTATTGTAAATGGCATTGTTTTCATATATTTTTTATCTGTTTGTTCATTATTAGTGTATGGAAATGCTGATGATTTTTCTATGTTGATTTTATATCCTGCTACCTTGCTATAGCTGTTGATGGTGTCTAGGAGCTTTTGAGTAGAGTTTTTTGGGTCTTTAAGGTATAGGATCATATCATCTGCAAATTACTGCAGAGTAATTGCCTAATTGCTCTGGCTAGGAATTCCAGTACTATGTTGAATAGGAGTGGAGATAGTGGGCATCCTTGTCTGGTTCCTGATTTTAGAGGGAATGATTTCAGTTTTTCTCCGTTAAGTATAATGCTGGCTGTAGGTTTGTCATATATAGCTTTTATAATGTTGAGGTACTTTCCTTCTATTCCTAGTTTTCTTAGAGATTTTATCATGAAATGATGTTGGATCTTATCAAAGGCTTTTTCTGCATCTATTGAGATGATCAAGTGGTTTTTGTCTTTGCTTCTGTTAATTTGGTTTATTACGTGTATTGATTTTCATATGTTGAACCACCCCTGCATCCCTGGGATGAAGCCTACTTGGTTGTGGTGAATAATCTTTTTGATGTGTTGTTGAATTCGGTTTGCCATTATTTTGTTGAGGATTTTTGCATCAATGTTCATTAAGGAGATTGGCCTATAGTTCTCCTTTTTGGAGGTGTCTTTGCCTGGTTTTGGGATAAGTGTAATACTGGCTTCATAAAATGTGTTAGGCAGTTTTCATTCCCTTTCTATTTCATGGAACAGTTTAAGGAGGGTTGGTATCAGTTCTTCTTTAAAGGTCTGATAGAATTCAGCAGAGAATCCATCAGGTCCTGGACTTTTCTTTTTGGGGAGACTCTTGATTGCTGCTTCAATTTCATTTTGTGTTATAGATCTATTCAGGTGATTAATGTCCTCTTGGTTCAGTTTTGGATGATCATAAGTATCCAGAAATCTGTCCATTTTTTAAAGATTTTTGAATTTATTGGAATATAGGTTCTCGAAGTAGTCTCTGATGATTTCCTGGACTTCCATGGTGTTTGTTGTTATCTCCCCTTTTGCATTCCTGATTTTACTAATTTGGGTTTTTTTCTCTCCTCATTTTGGTCAGGTTTGCCAGGGGTCTATCGATCTTGTTTATTTTTTCAAAGAACCAACTTTTTGTTTCATTAATTCTTTGTATGGTTTTTTGGTTTCTATTTCATTGATTTCAGCTCTTATTTTTATTATTTCTCTCCTACTTGTTTTGGGATTTGCTTGTTCTTGTTTTTCTAGGAATTTGAGATGTATCATTAGGTCATTGATTTGGGATCTTTCAGTCTTTTTAATATATGCACCCATGGCTATAAACTTTCCTCTCAGGACTGCCTTTGCTGTGTACCATAGGTTCTGGTAGGTTGTGTTTTCATTTTCATTGATTTCCAGGAACTTTTTAATTTCCTCTTTTATTTCATCAATGACCCATTGTTCATTAAGCAATGAGTTATTCAGTTTCCAGCTGTTTGAATGTTTTGTCTTTATTTTTGTTGTTGAGTTCTAGTTTTATTACATTGTGATCAGATAGAATGCATGGTATAATTTCTATTTTCTTATATTTGCTGAGGCTTGCTTTGTTGATGCTCTCTTTCTTGATCTGATGTTGGTCATATAGGTGTGCTCACTTTTGGAAAAGTCATTGAGCTATACACTTATGATGTGTGCACCTCTCTATGTGTATGTTAGTCTTCAATTACAAGTTTATTTCAAAAGTCTGAAGAGCTTCAGACCACTAGTGATGGACCCAGTTAACTTTTTGAGTACCCTCTAATCCAATGGACATATGTCTCCCCTTGGTGGGACATGGTAGCCGATGAAGACTTCCAAGTCATATTTCTCCAAATTTCCCAGCAGCCACCCTCGTGCAATGACTCATGGTCCTTCTCTGTCCCTCTCTTCCCCCAGAGGGTCCCCAGATATCTAGCTGCACATGGTTGTCCTCTCCCTGTCCCATTCTCTGGCACTCCACCCTTCCACTGGACAACAACACTGAAGAAACAAGTGCTAGCCCGCTGTATGCCATTGTGCTGGTCATTGAGGGCCAGTAACATGAAATTGGAGCCTCTGGGAACAGGAGGCAGGTTAAATAAGTGTCATGTGACTTGCACTCCCTGGCCACCTTCTGCCAGTGGTCTCTGAGAACAAATCACTAACATTTGAATCCTCTGTGTTCTAGCACAGATGATTGCAAGAAACTTACTCCAGTTGCATCATAGATGGAAGTTTATTGAAGGACATGATGGACAGGCTTCCAGGAAGAGCATGATGACCAGGCACCTTCCTGAAATTGGGCCTGGAATAAGGGAGGGTAGAGCCTCAGTCACACAGAGCTCACCTGGCATCCAGTTTCTTCTCAACCTGATAGCTCCACGTTTCCCAGCCCAAATCTTAGAGCTTCAGACTTTCTCCTCCCACCGTCTGCTACTAGGCTAGAAGGGAAATCGCTAGCCCACTCAAGAACTGGCTCCCCTTTGTCTTTGATATCCCAGGAGCACTTTATCCCTTCCTGACAGCCCTCACTGGCTTTAACAGCTCCTGATGTGTGAGCCTCCAGGAAAGGGACAAGAGCTCACTCAGTCATGGAGAGGGATACACCTGGAACAAGGATGCCGACAATATCCCTGTCTACTTGGCCCAGTAAAGCAGGGCCAAGCCCCTGGAGAGGGTGTGAAATATAGGGGTGCTTCTTCCTCCACTGGCTAGATCCTGCAACCCCACTGCCTGGCATGTCCTCACCCTGGGAACCTACAATTCCTTTTGATTTCCTGAGTTTTACCATGTGAAAGGGACTATCTCTTTCAGAAAGCCCATGCCCAGAATGACCAGGGACACTAAGAGAACACTGCCTGTGGATGGCATTCTCATCAATGTCAGAAGTCCCAGGAACATAGCTAGGGGCCGTTCAGAAATAGAAGTTCTAAGCCAGGTGCTGGTGGCTCATGCCTTCTAGCTATTCAGGAGGCAGAGATCAGGAAAACCAGGTTTGAAGCCAGCCTGAGCAAATACTCAACACAAAAAAGTGCTGGTGGAGTAGCTCAAGTGGTAGAGTGCTTGCCTAGCAAGTGAGAGGCCCTGAGTTCAAATCCCAGTACCACTAAAATAAATAAATAACCAAATACTATCTAAAAAAAAGTGCTAGGAAAAAAATTAAATTAAAAAAAAAAGTGCTGGTGGTGTGGCTCAAGTGGTAGATTACCTGCCTAGCAAATGTGAGGCCAAGTTCAAACCCAGTACTGAAGAAAGAAAGGAAGGAAGGAAAAGAGAGAGAGGGAGGGAGGGAGGGAGGAAGGAAGAAAGGAAGAAAAAGAAAGGAAGGAACAAAGGAATGAAGGAAGGAAAGAAAAGAAAAGAAAAGAAAGAAAAGAAAAGGAAAATGGAAGTTCTAAATGTAATCTGAACTCCAAACAAACAAACAAACTCCCCAGTCTCCCTTACAGTTTGGAGTGTCCATGTGATTACACTTCGACCTATGGGAAGTGAGTAGAGCTGATACTTCTGGGACCTTCAGGGTTCTCTGGACAACTAGAATGGGTGTATGTTCCACATCCCTCCTCTTGCTGGAGGGAACATAGACATGGTGGGGACAATCAAAGGCAATATTTTAGGAATGGAGAAAAGTAAGGGAGAAGGTTCTTGAGTTCCAACACCTTATACCACCATAGCATATGCAGGCTAGTGTGAGAGAAAAATGAAATTCTATCATGTTGTAGTCACTATATTTGGTCTATTGTTAGAGTAGCCTGACATAGTCTGTCTTTTACAGGTGTCTTGGCAAGTCTATGAGAACACAGAGCCTCCTCTAATCCATCCAAAAAGTCCATGATGGGCTTAGAGGAGAGCACTATGAAAGGGCAGTGCCTCCTTGGAAAGAGAAATGAAGAGGAGGGAGGCAGAGGCGCAGAGAAAAGTGGACCACACCATCAACTCAATTCTTAGGGTCTCCAGGAGTCAACACCTTCCTGGGTATTTGGGGCTCACCCCACCTCTTGCCACCCATTTTTCTTGGGCCCAAGAGACTTGGAGGCAGGTCACAGAAAGTCAGATGTCACTATGTTGTTTGTGCAGAGATAGGCAGGACTCAACGCTGCCTCCTTCATAGTACCCAAGTGGTCACAGATATCAGCAACTTCTTCTTCCTGAGGGCAGGTAATGCCACCAGTCAGCTCAGGGGCAGAGCACAGGACGAAGTCCCAGATGAGGCAGCATCAGGATCAAGGAGCTTTGCACAAAGAAAACCCTGGTCACAGAAGGACTCTTGGTGCAAAGGGCTTCTCTCCAACCCTCCATGGTCCTAGGTAAGGGTTCCAAGAGACTGGTAGGAATGTGCTTGACTGGAACTGTGGCTTAGCCCCTGACCACCAGCTGGGTTGTCTGCAGAGGGCCACCATCCTGGCGGAGGGGAAACAGACTTTCACCCCTACCCAGGTGACAGACAGGCTCAGGAGTATGGAAGAGAGACCTCAAAACAAAGGTAGACAAGTCTGGCCACAGTGGCTCACACTAATCCCAGCTACTCAGGAAGCAGAGATTAGGAGGATCTCTGTTCAAGGCTAGCCCAGGCAAAAAAGTTAGCAAGACACCTGTCTTGACAAATAAGCCAGGTGTTGTGGTATGTGCCTATGATTCCAGCTAGGAAGAAGACAGGTAGAAGGAACATGGTCTGAGGCAGGTCCCAGGCAAAAAAAAAAAAAAAAAAAAGTGATAATATATGAAAAATAACTAAGGTATAAGAAGCCTGGGGGCATGGCTCAAGTGGTAGAGCACCTAATAAGCATGCTAATAAGCATGAGGCCCTGAGTTCAAACTCTAGTACTATATATATATATATATATATATATATATGTAAGTAAATAAGGTAGAGGAATCAGAAAATGTTTCTTGGAAGCAGGGGTGATGCTACTAGCACCAGAAAATTTACCTGAATTATCCAGCCAGCCACCCAGCAAATGTGTCTGATCTCAGCTCAATCAAAATATGACTTTCCAGTCTCCCAGGGGGTCCTAACTCCCTGTGCTTCCCCTGGTCCCAGGCACCATTCTGTGAATGGGAGCAGTCTAGACAGCAGCCCAGCACCGTGAATTAGTTGGGTGTTGTATCTACATGTGCATGCGTGTGTTGAGTGAATACCTGCATGGTTTCTTTCTGAGAAGTCATCTCCACCAAATTCTTCATATTCACCTTATGAGAACACCTCCCTCTGCATGGACAAGAGTGGACAGACTCAGAGAAGCTCCCCACTGCTGCCCCTCTACTCTCTTTCCTTCCCCACATGCTGGCCCCATGTTGCCCACTGTACAGAGCAGGGGTTACCCTGTGAAGGAAAGAAAAGCTACAGCAAGATGGATGTAGAGATGATTCTGAAAGGAATCCCCAAATTTGGAGGGGGCAGGCTAGGAGGTATGTGGCCTGCGAACCCTAAGGAGAGAGCATCACCTAAGGGATGGGGTAGATGATGGAGGGGATGGGAGTAGGTTAGGGTATCCCAGTCCCACCCAGCTCTGGACCCACCTCCAGGTGTGGTAGGCCCCTAGGCCCAGCAGTAGGCACAGGAAGCCAGCCAGAAATCCTAGGACCCAGAGCAGTTTCTGGTATAGATTCAGCTGGTGCAGGGCTGTAACATGCAGGAGGTGCTCAGAGGGGCAGCCATGGCTCCAGGCCCCAAAAGGTCCCTCCTTCCAAGGTGAGCTTCCCAAGGTGAAACCTATTCTAACTTTCATTTCATCTCCAAAAACCCCTGTGCAAAGGAGCTCCAAACAATTGGTTTAGACAGACAAGTCTTACTTCCAGGAAGGCCTGAAAACTGGACTTCTGTGCAGAGCAACCTGGGAGTTGAAGTCCCTTCCACTCACCTCTGGTCCCAAAGTAAGCAGAGGTGGAGGCAGAGCCCAGGGCGTTGGAGGCAGAGCACACGTATTCCCCCTGGTTGCTGGGCAACAGCTCCTCAATGCTCAGCCTCAGGGCATTGGGGGAGGCTGAGACATGGATGTGTGGCTCAGCAGGAACACCCTGGGGCTGGCTGGAGGCCACCAGGCGACCACTGAGGTGGAGGGTCAGGCTGGCAGGGGGCTCACTGTCCACTCGGCAGTCCAGTATGCCCTGGAGTCCACCCTCAGGCTCCACAAAGACAGTCATGGTTGGCGTTTTGGGAGGATCTGTGGGGAGAGTGTGAATGCAGAAGACAAATCCTTCCTTCCCTGTACCCAGCATGGTGGCTTTGCTGCGCCTCCCATGAAGAGGGAGAACTTATTTCCTCACTCCCTGGGTCTGACTTGATTTGACTAATTGAAGGTAGAAGTGACATTGTGGGACTTCAGAGATTGACCTCAAGAGGTCTTGCAACTTCTGCTCTGTTTCCTGGAATGGTAACCATGTGGGAAGTCCAGGCCAGCCTGCTGAGCACAGCCACAAGGGTAAAGCCATCGTAGACAAGCCAGATTCAGTGAAGCCACTGGACAACTGCAGCCACATGAAATGAGACCAGCAGAAGAACTGCCCACTTGAACGCACTGCAAAGTTTTGACCCACAGAATCGTGAGTGTTGGGACCTCTTGTTACATAGCAATAGCTGACTAATGCAGCATAGGTGCTGGAGAATAATGAAGTGGGAGACCAAGGCTGATGAGGGCTTGCTGTGTGCCAGGCACTCAGTAAGTTTTATTTCCTATTTTCCTCCCAAGAGGAGAGGACTAGTGTATCCCTCATTTTAAAAGATGGAGAAATGAATGCCCAGATGCATAAGAGCAAACAACCAGCTGGTGAGAGAGCCAGGATTCCAACCCAGCACTATCTACCCGTGAAGCCCTTTCTCTATGCAAATAGGAGAGGGGGCCATCCTGAGGTGGGCAGGTGAGATGTAGAGACCGATGCAGGATCGATGTAGGGCAGGGGGAGGGGACACACTCACAGAGCACATGGAGCATGACTGGAGCAGATGTAGCAGCCCCAGCAGGGAGCTTGACCTGGCAGTGGTACAGCCCAGTGTGGGTACGGGCCACATGGGTGAAGGCAAGGGTGGGCACAGGCTCTGCATGTAGTGGTCGACCATTCCAAAACCAAGTGAAGGTGGAGTTGCCCATGGGCCTTGGGCCACCAGGGAAGCGGCAGCTCAGGTTCAGTGCTGCACCCTCAGGCACATCCAAGCCTGGCTCGGCCACCACATGCACACCTGCAGGTCAGGGACAGAGTTGGTCAGGGATCTGTGCACTGTGGGAAGAAGGTCTCAATCTGTCTTAGGGTCCAGACCCTCCAAGGTGGGAGGGACTGGGTGTCCCCTCAGCTGTGAGAAGCAGGTGGATCAAATGCATGCACTGGTGCCATCAGGACGGTGCTGTACCTTCCCTACAGAGCAGGCCATCTGATGGATGAGGCTACATCTCGCCCTCAAGACTGGGCTCCTTGAAGGTAGGGCCCTGTCTCTCTCCCTACCACAGCTTTCCCTGGACAGGTCTGTGCCCTCACCTTAGATTGGGCTGTGAAGCAGGGTTGTGTCTCCTCTCCACTCCCACTCCCTTGGGCATTGCAACACCTCCAAGGGCAAGTCTATATCTCCCCCCTCAGGCTGGTGACTCCCTTCACTGGGAGCTGTGCTACACCATCAGATTTGACTTGTCAGGCACAGCTATCTCTTACCCCCTTAGGCCAAACAGCACCTTCTAGAGGGAGCTCCAGTCCCTCACATGGACTCCAGCCCTACAATGCCAGAATCCCAAACCTGAACCCTTTTCTCGCCTTACTCACCTTCTGCCTGCAGCTTCTTGGTTGTGCTGATTGAGCCCAGCAAATTCTGGGCTATGCAAACATAGGTGTCGTCATCACCAGTAGGCATATCTTGCACCTGCAGCTGCAAGGCGTTGCGGGCCACCTGGACATGGCCCACATCCAAGGTCGAGCCACGTAGCCCACGGCTGGTGGCTAGCACCTTGCCATTGTGGGACAGGGTCATCTCGGCAGGTGGTTCACTGTCCACGGTGCACTGTACCATGGTCATGGGCCTGACCCTTGAGTCCCAGAAGGAAGATAGGACAGCATTCTGAGGGGGATCTGGGAGGGGGGCAGGAGAGAGATGAAAGCCTTGCATAGATGCCCCATACTACCCATTGCTCACCCTCCTGATGTTGGTGAGGTTGAAGCCACTGAGCAAATGATCACTTTCTAGAAGTGATACCTTCTCAGGAGAGCTTTAAGCAGAGTCCTTCAGGCAAAGTTCATAGGGCGATAGGGCCTCTTCCCTCATCACCTATGCCCTTCTTTCCCTAAGTGCCCATTCTAGGCCCACTGCAGTCCCATACCAGCCTGGAAGCACCCTCCACCACCCTCATCCCATGGCCCCAGCCAAGATCCCCTGCTCACAAAGGATTTGCAAGGTGGCAGGCCGGGAGCTGCGTGTGCCTTGAGTATCCTGGACCTGGCAAGAGTAGGCACCAGCGTGAGCCCGTGTGGTCACCGGGAACTCAAGTGAGGCAGCAGGCCCCTCCTGCAGCCAATGGCCATTGTGGTACCAGGCAAAGGAGGAGGGCGCGCGGGCAATGGAGTCCTCACAGGTCACTGTGACAGGGGCACCTTCGGTCACAGTGGCTGATGGAGCCAATGTCACCTGTACACCTGAACCAAGGAGACCAGGGTTAGCTAGGCCCAGTCAGACACCACAGCTGACTCCCTCCCCTGTGGCCTTGGACTGGACCCAGCTCACCCTCTAGCCGCAGCTCCAGGGATGTGTTGGCCTGGCCCAGAGGATTTTGGGCTGAGCAGCTATAGAGCCCCTCATCATTTGGCCGTGGTTCCCGCAGCTCCAGACGCAGGGTGTTGGGGACAGAGGTTACAACTGAGGAAGCCAGGAGGCGGCCTGCATGGTGGAGGGCCAGCTGGGCTGGTGGGCGGCTGTCCACAGTACACAGAACCAGGGCCAGCTTCCCGCCCCGGCTTTCTAGGAGGTAGGTCAGGCGCAGGCTGCGGGGTGCATCTGCAGAGGCCCAGGAGGCATAGGAGGGGTTCAGATGGCAGCCTTGAGAAGGCCAGTTTGAGATGGCACTAGGAGCCAGGAGGACCCTGGTTCCCCACCTCAAGTCCCCTCCCCCCACCCATGCAGTGTCCAATCTGGGGCACTGCTCCTTTGCCCAGAAAGGACCTATCCCCATTTTCCCAGCTCTAACGCTCCATTGGCTGGCTAGGGATTACGTACTGGGGCTGCGTACCTGTGGGGCTCTGGGCACACCCTGATCCTGTGAACTTGCTGTCAATCCTCAGTCCCACCCTGCACACAGCCACTCACAGAGCACATCCAGGGTGACAGGTCTGGAGAGGCGGGGCATCTGGCCTGGGAGCTTCACACCACAACGGTAAGAGGTGGCATCCGTGGCCGTGACGTTGGGTAGGGAAATGGTGTGGGCACCTGGGCGCTGCTGTCCATCCTGGTACCATGAGTAGGTGAACTGGACTGGGAGATTGGTCCAGACACGGCAGGTCAGGTTCACCTGCTCCCCCTCAAGCACAGTGGTGTTGGGCCACACATACACTTTCACAGCTGGGGAGAAAGAGAGTCTTGAGTCAAAGTAGCCCTGTCTCTATGAAGGCCAGTCACCCGTGGACTCTGTGAGCCTCAGGAGGCCCCTGTAAAAGGGGCCCAGAGGTCATTGGGAAATGGTTCATTATCTCTTGGACTGTCCCAAGTGGAGCTCTACAGAGCCCTGGATGGCCCCTGACCCTGGTGGAGGGCAAACAGGGTGAACAAAGCCTCCCTGTGCAGTTGTGGTTTCTCCTTGGGATGCCTTTTCTGATCAGTTTTATCCCTTGGGCATCCCAGGAAAATTCTGTGTTTAAAAGAGGCTCTTAAATGAAACCCAAGTCTAGAGACATCTGCTTTTAGGCAGGGTGAGAATGGAAACTGTCCTTATGCTCTAAAGCCTTCTCTCACCTCCTCTCCACTCATCCAGGACACAGACAGATGTGTGTGTACATGTACACATGCACTAACCCTGGGTATCAAAGTTAGCTGAAGCTGAGGTCTGGCCCAGGGTGTTGGTGGCCTCACAGGTGTAGACACCCTCGTCCTCCAGCCCTGTGTACTGTATCTCCAGACGCAGTTCATTGGGGGACACAGTCACATGCAGCCGGGAAGAACTGCTTGCAAGTTCCTCTACACCTTGGAGGGTAGAGGCCACAAGACGGTCCCCTTGGAGCAGTCGCAGCTGGGATGGAGGGTCACTATGCACACTGCACAGGAGGAAGCTCAGTCTCGCAGGTCCTGTATTCATCAGCGTGGTGAGCGTGGCGTGGCGTGGGGTATCTACATCAGATGGGGAGTGGTCAGGGCCTGGCCAGGCATGGTGGCAAAGCCTAGGACGAGGGAATGCCTCCTTGCCCCCACACATAGATGGGAAGCTCCCTTACAGGATACATGGAGGCTGACGGGGGCGGCCAGGCTGGTGATGGCTGCTCCTGGGGCCTGAACTTGGCAATGGTAGGCCCCAGCTTGCCTCAGAGTTATGGCTGCAATGCGGAGTGTGGATGAGGTCGACTCCTGGAGGGGCCGGCCATCTTGATACCAGTGGTATGAGGTTCCCTCAGGGACCCCCGTGGGCACCTGGCAGCTCAGGACCACGGCCTGGCCCTCCTGGAGCTCGGGAGATGGTGAGACCTGAACCCAGGCTCCTGCGGGGAGAAACCACGGGCAGGTGAAGACCACTACCATCCCTCCCACTGTCTGGGACTGTGTGTGTCCACAGAAGACTGTGTGGCCCCAACCCCGTGTTTAGCAGTCTCAGCTTCCCCTCCAGACTACTGCCCAGGGTACCCATCAGCTCCATGCCTCTGCCTGGCCTGCCACCTTGCCTGTTCAGGCTATTTCCTGGTACTCTTCTGAGAAACCCACATCTGCTTACCACATAGAGCTTTACTCTGTCCACTATACTCGCCTGCTCAAGGGTGAGCCTCGTGGGTACCAGCTCATGTACCTTGAAACCCCAGTGCCAGGCCCAGCATCGGCATATGTTAGCTATTGTTTTTTGGCAGTACTGGGGTTTGAACTCAGGCCTTCATGCTTGCTAGGCAGGAGCTCTACCATTTGAGCCACTCTTCCAGCCCATGTGTTAGTTCTTGTCAAATATTGGTTTGACCATAAAGCACTGAAACAGGAGTTTCGTGCCTAGGGCCACTGTCCTGACAACTGTGAACTGGGCTTAGCATGGGTGGCCAAGGGCTTGAAGGGGAGGTTGGCACCTGTGTGACCTTGAGTTCTTTCCAGCCCTCTCCAATCCAGTCTTGCACCCAGACTCCAGGCCACAGGAGCCCAGGTACTGGGGAACAGGCAAAGGGAGGAGACCAAAGAAGGAGCGTGTAGAGGCGCAATAACTGGGGTAGTGACAGAGAACACAGGGCAGCCCAAGACCAGAAGCAGGCTAGTCCAGAGTTCGCAGGACCTGCTAAGCATATGCCCCTGAGCCACCTCCTAAGATTCTGACCCTTGATTTCTCTGCCTGTGAAAAGGTTAATAAATAAATGTAGCACAGAACCAAGGCCTTTGCATCATGAATATTTCCTTTCCTTTGTTATGGTTTATTTGCTTAGGGAGAATTTTTGTTCTGCTTGTTTTGTTTCATTTTGTGTTTTTGAGACAGGATCTTGCAGTATACTCCAGGTTTGCCTCAACCTCACTATGTTGCCCAGACTGGCAGTACTGGGGTTTGAACTCAAGTCCTTAGATCTGGATCCTCCCACTTACGCCTCCCAAGTGCTGGGATTACAGATGGGAGGCACTGCATCTGGCCCTGCCTCAGCCTCTTGATGCTGGGATTACAGGCATTTACCACCATACCTAGCTTTCTTAGGGAGAAATTTTACAGAGACTATGCATGCATATATATGATATGGTTGTGCATATGTGTGAACACAGAACATAAATAGATTCTATGTGAGAATATATGTGTATATAAATAAATGTAAATTCATACATGTATTCATAATATACATATATGTTAGGTTTTGCATGAGAATGTCTACTATTAACAAAATTATGTTACAAAGTTAGTTGTGTCAGTGAGCCCTGCAACCAAGCAAGCTGGCTTGCACGGTTGCCACTACCTTCTTTTGGCTGCTGCAGCTATTACAGGTGAAATATCTAGTGGAGGGGAAGGTCTCAGTTGCCTGGCTACAAACTGTCCCATAACCAAGGCTGCAAAAGACTCTCATTTCTGCACAAAATCCACAGCATGCAACCCAAAATCTGACCATAGTAGCCGCTGGACATAGAGATCTACCCCACCATCAGAGGACTGACGCTCACCTCGGACCTGGAAGAAGAGCGAGGTGTTGGCTGATCCGAGAACGTTTGTGGCCTCACAGCGGTAGTTTCCAGAATCCTCAAGGCCCAGTTCTCGGACCTCTAGCTGCAGGGAGTTGGCTGTGACCTTGACCTGAAGCCTGCTGTGAGATGAGAGCTGGAGTCCCAGGCTGGTGGCCAGGAGGTGCTCCCCATGGAACAGGGAGAGGCGAGCCAAGGGACTACTAGCCACAGTGCAGACAAACACCACCATGTGGCCCTGCTCTACATCCAGGAGGGCCGACAGTTTTGGAGGGTCTGGGGGATCTGCAGAAATGGGGGAGGAGGGCATTCAAGCCACTTCAACCCTACTCATCACATTTCAGTTGCTATACTACATCCCCTCCCCTTGCCACACCCTGCAGGTCCTCCCAGGCCATGCCCAGATCAGACACTTGCCTCCCCAAACCCCAGCCCCAGCCCTGTTGGCCCCTAGCCCCCTCTACCCTCCAAGCCCCAGGCTGCCCTTGCCTGGCACCTACAGAGCACACTCAGGACTACAGCAGCAGAGAGCTGGGCTCCAGCCTCAGTGAGGGGGCGGCAGGCGTAGAGACCAGCATCCGTCCTGCCCACAGGTAGCAGCTTCACAGTCTCCAGGGGGCCCTGGGTCCATAGCGCCCCATTCCGGAACCAGGAAAAGTTGGCAGGGCTGCCAGGGGTCTCCCGGCTCACATTGCAAGTCAGGTTGGCCTCTGTGCCCTCCTGAAGTGTGTTTGATGGTGAAATGACCAGGACAGTGGCTGGAGAGCAGGCAGCACAGGTTCACTGGAGACAGACCTGGTTTTGGCCACCCCTGCCCCACCTAGCCTAGTAAAGGGTAGAAGCCCCCAGAGGTGCCCACATAGTGGGGAGGAAAGCAAAGGAACAGTGAGACACAGAAACTCCCAGGGGAGCCTATAAGAAGTGGGCACAGGGCAGAGGGGGTCACAGTAAAGGGGAAGGAGGAGAAGACGGTCCCACTGTGCTTTCCTCAGGGCTCAACCTTACAGCCCCAGGCCTGTTCTGAGACAAAAACTGAGCCTGGAATAATCACAGATTTAGGATGTCTCAACGAGGGAACAGTGAGACACCCAGAGCTCCACTCTTGTCATTGATGGCAGTTCTGCCTTCTCCCACTACTGGCACAGGTGATTTTGCCCAATTAGCCCCCCTGCCCCTTGGAGCAGGGGTGGCCCAACATAATACAGAGCTCCAGTTCCTGCCCTCCCTCACTTGCCCCCTGACCCCTCACCTTGAGCACTGAAAGTGGCCATGGCCGAGGCATTGCCCAGGGCGCTGCTGGCCTCACACAGGTACTCGCCCTCGTCCTCCAGCATCGGATTGTGAATCTCCACACGCAGCAAGTTGGGGGCTTTGGTGACCTTTGCACGCTGGGAGAAACCCTCACAGGGGCTGCAGCCACTTCTCGATGGCAGAGAAGTGGCCACAATATGGCCCTTGTGGAGCAGCTGTAGCTGAGCCGGGGGATCACTGTCCACACGGCACAAGAGGAGGCCACGCCGTCCAGTCCTGGCTCCAGAGGCATCAAGATCCAGCTGGGCAGTGAATATGGGCTGGCGTGGGGCGTCTGTGGAGAGGAAGAACATGGGCCCTCATCCCGTGGCCACTGCCAAGGTCCCAGCTCCACTCCAGGCTGATTGAGTCTCCCAGAACACACTGGACAAGAGCATGTCCCCAAAGTAGCCACCAGCAGCTGTTCAGGTTGGGCACTGCACAAGGACAAACAAACCATGGTGGGTGGGATTCACACATGCTTCTCATGCTAAGTTATACCTTGGTGCTGAATTGAGTCTTCCTAGAAGGAAAACCATTTTCTAGCTGAGACAATGGCACTGTATGGGCTAGCAGCCACCTAGAATAAGTCTCACCTACTCCTGAGCAGAGAACCCTCAAAGCAATCCCCAGGAGCCTAGCTCTCTGCTCTCACTCCTACACCCACCCCTACCATTGAGACTTGCCTCTTAAGTCTAATTCCCAGGCTAGCTCCTATAATACTAGATAATGCTTAACAAGTCCTCTCTCTAGAAGTTTCCTGACAAGGATGGTCAGAAGAGAGGCAGCAGCTAAGACCCCCATGTGATCTCACTTAGACACCAGAAAACCCTGGTGAGGCAGCTGCCTTGTGACCTGAGGTCCTGGGACCCTCGCCCCGCACACACCTGCCAGGGGAGGCCTAGGTATCAACTGCCTCACTCCCTTCCCTGGCTGATATGGAGTATCCACTCTTGGTACGATGCAGATGGGCTGTCCATCTGCCTTAGTGTCTGTAGGAGTCTGTGAGGGCTTAGCCTGGGGTGGGGGGGGGCATATGTACATATATAGGAGGATGGTGTCCTGAGGTCACCCAGGAAGACAAACATGCATATGGGACCATGGCAGGCTTGAGCCAAAGGCAAAAGGGCAGGACACAGGGAGGTAGAAGAGGCCCCAGTCTCATTCCTCCAACTTCTGTCTTAAGTGGAAATGTCCACAATGACACCTCCTGGTGTGGAACACTGGGCAGGACAGGGTCAGGAGAGACTGGAGGATGTGGGTGGCCAGTGGTCCCAGTGGGCTGACCCTCCCCACATCAGGCAGTGACCAGGCTGCTCACGGAGCACGGTGAGGACAGTAGGCAGAGAGGGGCCGCTTGTGCTGTTGCTGTCCTGGGCCCGGCAGTGGTACGAGCCGGCATCTGTGCTGGTGGCCGAGGGGAGCAGGTGGCTGCTGCTGGCTCCCTCAAAAAGCAGGGCTCCGTTCAGGTACCAGGAGAAGCGGGTGTCTGGCGTCAGGCTCAGGCCACTCCTGCAGCTCAAAGTCACTGTCTGGCCTTCCACCACCTCTGCTGCTGGACTGATAAGGAGTCGGGCCACTGGTGAGACAGGAGAGAGGAGGTGTGGGGAGCCTGTGAGGTCCCTGCCCCTCCACACCACCTGCTGCAGGAAGCCCTCCAGGCTTCTCTCTCCCCAGATGACTAGCTAGGTCTGGGCTTTGTGGTAGATCAGGGAGGTTTGGCCTTGAAGGACAATTCAGATGTAATATAACAGCACAGCTGAAAAAGACTCTGAGCCAGAGCCCAACCTTGTGTCCAAAATCCGTGTACTGTGGCCTCAGAAGAGAGGAAGGGCACGGTATATACCAACAGTTGGAAGGCCCTATTTCTCTATTTTGCCTCCCACATGTAGCCCCTAGTATAGGAGAGCCTGCACCAAAATCTTAATAAATAAACAAACGCCTGTGAAGGGCCCGCCAAGTACAGACTCAAAGAGTGAGTGTGTGCAAAAGGAATAAATGTAATCTACCATGCTTCCCTTTTTGCCTTGACTTCTAGGGACCTCTGAAGTTGGGATGACTGTAAAGGCCAGGCAAGTTCAGCCTTTGAGTTGAAGGACTCCTAGAAGGAAAAGGCCCAAGCAGCTTTTCTCCTTGGACCCCTGCCTCCCTATAGCCTGCGCCCTGTTACCGTTGGCATGGAAGTCCAGGGTAGAGGTAGCATTTCCAAGGGAGTTGGTGGCAGAGCACTTGTACTCCCCACTGTCTGATGGTTGCAGGTCTCGGATCTCCAGGCGCAGGAAATTGGGGGCTGAGGAGACACTGAAGCGTGGACTGTAACCATTCTCCCCAGAGCTGGAGGCCAGGATGAGGGCCCCATGTGACAGCACCAGCGTGGCCAGAGGTTCACTGACCACGGAGCAGTGGAGGATGCCCACAAGCCCGACCTGCATCTCCAAGAAGGCAGTCACATCTGGGGCCAGGGGTGGGTCTGTGGGGAACCAGAGAGGTGCCTGTCACCCTCAGATAAGACACGTCCCGGATCCCCTGTTAGAGTCTGTGTCCCTTGTACCCCTTTCATACACAGTGCCCTGGGATGGCGAGTGGGGAGGGGGAAGAACAATCCCAGAAGCTCCCAAGCACCCGCTGGATACAATTCAGCCCCCGAGCTGGGCAGATCACTCTGTTGACCAGCCAGTCCTCATGGCCACCCTGCAGGTGAGGGTCAGGGGCCCATTTTAAAGATGAGAAATCTGGTACAGAGGCCAGCTGGTGGGTAGTACTTTAACCAAGCCACCAGAGGGAACATTACTAGCACAGGACAAACTGACACCATGAGCCTCCCGATGGGATGCACTGAAGTGAGCACAGCAGCCTGCCTCCTGCCTTCCTTCCCAAGTGCATAGCCTCAGAAAATGCAAATCAAGGGACAGTCACAGAGCACCTGGCCTGCAGCCTCTAAGTTTCAAATCAGGAAAGACTGAAGAAAGATAGGAACCGTCCCAGAGAGACAAGGAGGGAGAAAAAATGCAATGTGTAAGCCTGAATTGAATCCTGTATCAGAGGAAAAAATGCTATAAAAGACATTATTGAGTCAATTGCTATCATTGGAGTTGGACTGTGAATTAGATAATAGGCTGGGATCCATGTCAGATTTCCTGGCCGCGATCCTTGTACAGGGCTATGTATGGGAGCAATCTTAGGAAATATACATTGAGGAAGTTAGGGAAAAGAGGTACCATGTTTTCATCTGCAGGAATATAAATACTGATGGTCATCCAATACGATTTTTCAACTTTACAATGGCCTGAAAGCCATACACAGTAAGTAGAAACTGTATGTTGAAATTTGGTCTTTTCCCTGGCTAGCAATTTACAATAGGACCTTCATTCATGCTGCTGGGCAGTGACAGCAATCACAGCTCCCAGTCAGCCACAAAATCACCAGGGGGAAACCACCAACTTTACAGTGTGCTGTATTGCTGGCGTTTTGTTTTGTTTTGGTGGAACTGGGGTTTGAACTCAGAGTTTCACACTTGCAAATCAGGCGTTCTGCCACTTGAGCTATACCTCCAGTCCATTTGCTCGGGTTATTTTGGAGATGGAGTCTTGTGAACTATTTGCCTGGGCTGGCCTGGAACCTCAGTCCTCCTGATCTGAGCCTCCCAAGTAGCTAGGATTACAGATGTGGGCCACTGATGCCTAGTTCCTTGCAACGCTGGTGTTTGAACTCAGGGCCTACACCTTGAGCCACTCCACCAGCCCTTTTTTGTGATGGGTTTTTTTCAAGATAGGGTCTTGTGAGCTGTTTGCTGGGGCTGGCTTGGAATCCCGATCTTCCTGATCTCTGCCTCTTGAGTAGCTAGGATTACAGGTGTGAGTCACTGGCACCTGGCCAAATGTATTTTTAAAAGCAGGAGGAAACTGAGCCCTGAGAGGTCAAAGTCTTGCACAGGTATGCAGAGCCAGCAGATGAGTTCAAGGTCACATGACTGAACAGTCCATATCTGGGTCAAGTGGCCTTAAGCTTCCAGGCCAGGGACCCCAACCTTCCTGTGGGGATTCCACCCTCTGGCCCTGCCCTGTTGGTGTCAATGCATCCCACCCAGGCCACTTACGATTGACCACCACACTGACAGGGCCTGAGCGCTCACTGCCTTGGGTGTTCTGCACCTCACAGAAGTAGAAGCCAGTGTCAGCCCTAGTAACCGCATGCAGTTGCAGGGTGGGGGTGTAGACGTCCTCCAGCAGGATGTGGTTCTTGTACCAGCTGTAGTGGAGCTCACTGGGTGCCTCTTTGGGTGTGTTGCAGACCAGTGTCACTGTCTGGTTCTCCAGGATGGGGCCTGCTGGGCTTACCTTGACCTCAGCCACTGCAAGGACAGTACAGGGCACACTGTGGCAATTTCCAGCCCCAACCCCTCAGGTCCCAATCAACTTCAATTTCTGCAGATTCTAATGTACTCCCCTCCCATGCAACAGAACCTTTTGGGATCACCCTGCATCTCTTTGTCTGATTTACCAGGGAGCTGTGACATCTCCTCCTGCAGAGAGGCACTGTTACCTGTCTCACAATGAGGTACAGTTGAGAGTCCATGCCACATCCTACAGACTCTAGGCTATGCAATCCTCTGGCCCTCCCTAGCCTAGCTCCCTTTGACCCCAGCAGCCTGGACCCCTCTCTGCCCTCTGGCAAGATCCAGGACTCACTGAAGACATGGAGGCTGACAGGGGGTGAGACCAAAGAGCCCACTCCATTCCCTGCTTGGCAGGTGTAGACCCCGGCATCGCTCCAGGTTGCCTGGGACAACTGTAGTATACGGCCATCAGCTTTGAGATGCACCCCATCCTTGAGCCATAGTACGGAACTGACGGCAGGGTAACTGCTGTTCACTTGGCACGTGAGTGTGACCAGATCACCTGGAAGGATGTTCCGCCCTGAGGGGCTGAGGAGGACTTCCACGCCCTTGGGGGCATCTGTAAGGTACGGTGGAGGTGTTGGGTAAGGTGGCTGGGGAGTGCAAGGGTGGACCCCTCTCCTCCTTTCAGAATTCTGCTCTAAGAAAGGTCACCCAGAGAAAACATCAGTCCCCAGCATTCCCCCGTCCCTTCCTTCCCCACAGAGGGTCTGACAAACTGACAACATGCTGCTTGGCCTAGTGTCCAGTTTATGCTGCTGTCTATGGCTTTCATGAAGCTGCCAACTGTACCTGTTCTACTTGATGCCTGTGAACAGATGTTCTAGAACACCTGTCCTGTTTCACTAAGAGGGGAAGATGAGTAAGCAATGGAAACTAGGCTTTCTCCTCACTGACTCAGCTTCAGCATCCCTCAGGGCTGGATTGAATTCTGGGGAACTTGCCCTCAACTCCCAAAGGGACTTGGAAGCTCCTGTTCCTTGACACTTTGTTTCTCCCCTTCTCTGCCCAGCCTGGCCTTGAGAACAGACCCCTTCGAAGCCTGGAGAGGTGGAAAGGAGCAGTTTAATTTAACACAGGCCTTAGGATTTAGTGATCTCTCTCCACCTACCCTACCTTGGAGGCCTGTGTGCCCTGTTCTGCTTAGAGACAAAGGGTCTGAGTCTAGGAGCTGGAGAAGTTGCTGCTTTCTATGGGAGAGCCACAGATGTGGGGCTCAGTAACACAGGTGTGGCTCCCACATACTCACACTGCACACGGAGGTGAACCTCGCCCTGAGACCTGCGATTAGCTACTGAGAGCTGGCAGCGCAGGAGCCTGTCGTGATCCTGCCAGGACAGGGACACGTGGAGGGTCTGCATGTGGATGATTCCGGTAGGCTCAAGCTTCTGGAGGTTGGAGATTACAGAGCGAGTGGGGTCCTGGCCCTGCCACTGCAAGCTGACCTTCTCCTGCAGGCACGTGTAGGGTGTGGAACAGTTGAATGTCACCTCTGTGCCCTCACGCAGCTCCACTGGGGAGGCAATGGTGGGTGCTCTGGGCTCATCTGAGGACAAAGATAGGAATGGTCAGGATGCCACTTTGCCACACCTGAGACCTCTTCCCCTGGAAACCCCAGCAGAGGGGTGAGCCCTGGTCAAGGCCTTGTGGGGAAGGAGAGGCTACGTACCACCGCCAGCCCTATGGGGGTGGACTCAAGGGAGAAGCAGGACTGGCAAAGGCCTGGAGCTGAGGCTGGTGGGGCCTCGGTGAGGTCTATGTCAAAGAATGGGACTGTGAACTGGGGCAAGGGAGGCGGCCAGGAGCAGTCTGGAAAGTCACCCAATCCTCACCATTCACGGTGACTGAGGTGCCCTTGATGTCTGACCAGCGGTTGCCCTCGCTGATCTCAAAGCGGAAGTTGTAGGCGCCCGAGTCCTCTGGCCTCAGATCACTCAGCAGCAGATTGCACACCTTGTGCTCCATGTTGCCCAGCAGCTGGGAGCGGCCACGGAAGCGAGGCTCCACCAGCGTGGGGTTTGCTGAGTGGCTCACCACCTGCCGCTTGCCGGAGTAGTCATAGTACCAGATGGCCGTGATGCCCTCCTTGGGCACCTCCACAGTGTTAGGGAAGGTGAAGATGCAGGGGATGAGCAGACAAGAGCCCTTCACGCCCCACACTTCCTGAGGACTGGAGACACCCCAGGAGGTCTGGCCTAGAGGAGGATGGGAAAGGGGCAGAGAGGAGGGTGATATAGGCCTGGAGACACCAGGAACCCTGCCCTCTGCCCCAGAAAAGGTGCCTCAGATGGGCCCTTGAGTCCTGTACTTACAGTGCACCCCTAGAGCAGCCCTTTCTGCACCCCAAGGGTGAGGGAGTCTTACCTGCTTGCTGCTCAGAGGTCTAGCAAGGTGGTGCCAAGAGGGACCTTGGCCCTGCTCAGCTCCCTGCCACTGCCTCCCTGTGCCCTCCCTCAGCCCCAGCAGCTAAAGCTGACCTAGGCACAGGCCAGGCTGCTAAAATCTGGGCCTCCTAGGCCAGGCTGTGGAAGATACATTAGGTCCATGGCTCACCTGGGGCAAAGACTGTGGCCAGAAGGAGCAGGCAGAGCAGGAAGCGCATAGTGGGTGCTGGATCTGGTGACAGAGAAGGTGATATGTAGGGCTGTTGGGCACACAGTGGCTTCCTTGAGACACCTTAGGGCACTCCAGTCCTGGAGCCTGCTGAGAGGTCAGTCCTATGTCCCCACCTGCTATGCTGCCCAAACCAGTGACAGGGCAGGACTCCTAGACACTTCTGGGCATCCACCAATGGGGAACAGGAGCTCACAATCCTGACTCAGGCAGTTCACAAAAATGTCGTCACTTGGTGGCATGCCCCAGGAAGCCTTCTGTACCCCTTGACTTCACCCCAAGTTCTGCTTTTCTCTCCCCTCAAGACATAGTCCCAGGACAAATGAACAGCTGTGTCTCCTCCTTCCCTACTTCTCAGCCCCCACCCAAACCAACAGGATCTGGAGACCAGAGAGGTCCAGTTGCTTACTCCAGAACACCCAGTGAACATGACTTCTTACTTGAAATTTATTCTCTACAGCTAGCCTTACCAGCTATAGGCCACAATGGGATTTGGCTGAATTTACCAAAGTGCTGACTTTAAGAGTCCCTCCCTCCTCTGCTCAAAAACCTCTGTGGCTCACATCCTTTGAGAGATGAAAGACCTCTATTTCTTGTTCCTGCTCCTCACACACCCACTCTGGACCAGTCCTGCACTCACAGGCTCCCTAGCTACCCATCTCTGCCTCCATCACAAATGATCTTTGCCTACTGAAACCTTATTCAGCCTTCAAGGTGCAGCACACGTGGGACTTAAAGCTGGAACTTTCCTTTATGAGTCCATGTAGTCACCTCAGAGCTACTGCATTTGCCTTAACCTTAGCATTCTGTAAGCACCCATTTCGGAGGACCCAGGCCCAGAGGATATGTGACTCATAGCAGTGCAGAGCTTCCCCAGCACTTGGGACCTCCTCAGTCCCAGAGAGAGAAGTGTGGTCCTCTAGGATTCAGAGTAGGGACAGGGAAGTGGCAAGCAAGTCTAGTTGTGATGGGTGGCACAACACGTTATATTCCATAAACATCAGTTCAATGAGTACTGCACAAGAAGACAGGCCCTGTGTCATAGAGAGTACCTGATGCAGAAAAGACTCTATGGTGTACCACAGATACGAGTTAAAATGAGACAAAACCCAAAAACACAACTAACTCTGTAAAACTCTTATAAGAAAACATAGATGAAATTTTTCATGACTTTAGGCAATAAAAGAAAAAAATAGAAGCTGGACACAGTGGTAGGCCTTCTAATCCCAGTTACACAGGAGGTTAAGGCAGGAGGATCTAGAGTTTGAGGACTGCCTGGGCAAATAGTGAGATCCCATCTCAATAAAGAAAAAGAAAAAATAGATAAATTGGGCTTCAACAAAATGAAAATCTTTTGTGCATCAAAGAACACTATCCAGAGAGTGGAGAACAGACAGCCCACAGGATGGGAGAAAGTATTTGCAAATCGTTGATCTTACCAGGGATTAATATATCCAGAATACACAAAGAACTCTTATAGCTTAAGAACCCCTCTTCCCCCAAAAAAACCCAACTCAGAAAAAGGGCAAATGACTTGAACAGACATTTCTCAATGAAGATATACCAATTGGCAGGGCACTGGTGGCTCATTCCTGTAATTCAGTCCACTAAAAAATAACATAAAATAAAGACGTACCAGTGGTCACCAAGCATATTGGCCATTAGGGAAATGCAAATCAAAACCACAGTGAGTTTGCACTTCACACCCATTAGAATAGCTATTGATGAATGAACAAACGAAATGAAAAATACTGATGAATATGTGAAGAAACTGTAGTCCTTGTGCATTGCCGGTGAGGATGTAAAAATGCGATAGCCACTTTGGAAAACATTATGGGGGCTCCCCAAAAGCCAACATAGAGCTAGGCACAGTGGCTTACACCTGTAATCCTACCTACTAGGGAGGCTGAGATCTGGAGGATCTAGATTCAAGGCCAGCCCAGGCAAAAAGTTCTTGAGATCCCATCTCAACTCATAGCTGGGTATGGTGGTGTGTGCCTGTCATCCCAGAGACTATGGGAAGAGTAAAAATAAAAGTAGGATCATGGTCCCGGCCTGCTTGGGCAAAAAAGCAAAATCCTTTCACCCGTAAAAAGGGCTAAAGGCATGGCTCAAGTGGTAAGGCACCCGCCTTTCAAGTGTGAAATCCTGAGTTCAAATCCCAATACCATAAAAAAAAAGTCAACATAGTCAGGATTTGACCCAGTAACTCCACTCCTAGTATGTATCTGAAAGTATTGAAAGTGGGGACCAAACAGATATTTGTGAACCAATGTTCACAGCACTGTTTTTCACAATAGCCAAAAGGTGGAAACATCTAAGCATCCATCAATGGAAGAATGGCTTAGCAATATGCAGTCTATGTGCACAGAGGAGTAGTCATCAGCCTGGACAAGGAGTGAAATTCCGAGGCTGTGTATAGCCCAGGAGACCCTGAAGACATTCTGTTGTGGGGAATGAGTCAGACACAAAAGGGCAAATACTGTAGAGTTGCACACAAGTATCTAGAGAGACAATGTGGAACAAGGTTACCAGGGCTGTGTGGGGGAGAAGGGAATGCGAAGTTAGTGTTTAATGGGTATAGATTCTCTGTTGTGGATGATGAGAAGGTTCTGGGTGGGGCTGAGGGCATAGTTCAAGGTTGAGTGCTTGTCTAGCCTGCACAGGCCCTAGGTTTAATTCTCAGCGCCCCACTACCACCACCAAAAAATAAAAAAATAGAAAGGCTCTGCAATAGTCAGTGGTGATGACTATGCAATATCATGAATGTTCTTAAGGCCCCTGAATTGTTCCACTGAAACAGCAAACTTTATAGGATGTATATTTTGTCATATACACACACATGTTGCCAACTTTGCAGTCCTCCCTGGGGCCTACTGACTCAGCAGAGTGACGGAGGGCTGAGGGAGGCTGCAAAAGTGGGGACAGGAAACTCATGACCTCTCCCAGCCCCCAGTCCATCTGCCTCATGGGGTAGGTGTGGCTGACTGCACGTGGGCACACCTGGGGAGGATTGAGCAGAGACCCAGGCCTGGATGGAGCCTGAGATGCTGTTAGGAGGCTTGTTCTGCACCTAGTCCAATGCAGAAGGCAGAAGGGACATCCTAGCAGGAAGCCTTGGTCAGGACAGGAAGCACAGACCTCTCAGTGGGCTGCTCTAGCACCCTTGACCTCAACACCAGGTCTTTGGTTGCTTAAGACTGGCCATCTGACTCCAGGGCCCAGAAGCTGCTAGGAAAGGCAACCTGCTGGGAAGACTTGAAGTAGGTGTGGCCCTGGGGCCCAGAGTTATCGGGATCAGGAGACACCAGCCCACTGTGTCTTTGCTGTGCCAGATCACTGGCTCCTCTTAACTGTGGTCTTGGAAAGGGCAATGCTGAACTTTATGGAGGGATGGTGGGATTTGAACAGTGGGATCCCAGAATGGAGCAGGAGAACATTTCTAGAACCACCCAGACTACATCTTGCAGATGTCACCTCTGCCAAACCCCACCCTAGTGCCACACAAGTTGCTCCCACTAGAGCCCAGCCTATTGGCTCAACCTGTGCCACCCCAAAGGCTAGCCTCTGCCCAGAGAACCGTCCTGGAAAAAGAAAGAGCAAGGACAACTTTAGAAAGGGAGACCTTGTCCTTGTGTGAAAGCTTGGTGGGAAGGTGTGGAAGGCGCCCCTGGGCTTGGGTTGGGACTGGTTGGCTTAGCAGGCATGCAGTGCCCCCTGGTGATAGAAGGATGAGCCCAGTCTTGAGGAAGGAGGTGATGGACGTCCTGGGGGACAGGAAGACCTGCAGCCCTTGGATAGCAACTCTTTGGACAACATTGTCCCCTAGCTGGAGTTCTTGGTGTTTATCTTTATGTCTACAAGGCTTGGGTGCTTGAAGACAGAGCCACTCCTAGAACTGGTATGTGCTGTAGGTCGGATGGCCTACTGCGCCATGGACACCCATGTTTGCTGTGTGTGAGACCAAGTGTCCCAGAACATATGGGGAAGGCTGGACGGGGCCCTGAGTCCTGACCTCTGATCCCAGAGGCCAAGTCCTGCAAGGGAGGAAGGGGCAGAGGAGGAGTCACTGCCGGTAGCTTCCCCAGCACAGGGTTCAGTTTCTATTTCTTAATACCAGGGCTTCTCCCTAACTTCCCTATCAGGATGGAGAAGGAGGGACAGGGTAATGTTGCCAGCTGCAGGGCTCACCCCAAAGTTAAAAGGTCAGGATACAGAAGGCTAATTTCAGGAGTAGATTGTATTCAAAACAGAGGAAAACCCCAAATGCAGCCAGCGTTCATTCTGCAAGCCATGAATCCATCAATAATGTCCCCTGGATTTCCAAGCAGCAGAAATTATGTTTTACTCCTTCATCGGACTCTAAACACTCCCAGGTGGAGTGCCCGCTCACTGAGCTGTGCCGGACAGTGCGGGGGTCCCTCCCGCAACAGATGAAATAATGATGAATGGAGCGGAGTGGGTTGGTTTAGAGCAAGGAAAAGAGGGCTAGGCACGGGACAGGCCAGGATGGTAGGATTTGGAACAGAGCTCAGGCTGGGATTGGGGTGGCCATTGAGGGGAGAGTAATGGCTGGGGGAGGGTGGCAGCTGGGTTGGAATGAGGCAGATAGGGTTGAGGTTGGGGTTGGGATTAGGATAAGGGATCAGTTGATCCATTTTTTTTTTTCTTTTTAGTACCGGGGATTGAACCCAGGGGTCTTGAGCTTGCTAAGCAAGTGCTCTACCATAGATCTACAGCCCCAGCCCTTTTCTTTTTCTTTTGTTTTTGAGACAGGGTCTCGCTAACTTTGCTGGAGTTGGCCTGGAACTCTTGATTCTCCTGTCTCAGCCCCTGGAGTATCTGGAATTGCAAGTGTGCAGTACCAGGCTGGCTGAGGGATCGGTTGGGACTGGATGTAGAAGATAATTAGGGAATGGTTGTGGTTGCCATGCAAGTGAGGTGAGGTAGGAGAGGGATTGGGGCTGCAGTGGGGTGAGGTGGGGTCAGGAT